ATTGACGACATTTGAGTTAATGTGAGGCACAACTGTAGAATAGTGTTGAAGGAAAAGCTCAAACACACTGCTTCCTTCTGTGACAACATGGGAAAATCAACAAGTCAGAATCAACAACAAAAGCCAGATTACACTTAGCTAAATGACACTGGGAAAAAGACTCATGTTTGGAGACATGTCCTGTGCTCTGATGGAGCTAATATTGAACTGTTTGGCCATAATGACCAGTGTTACATCTGGAGGACAAAGGGGAAAGCGCACAAGCCTAGAAACACCATCCCAACTGTGAAGTATGGGGGCGGCAGCATCATGTTGTGTTTTGCTGCAGGAGGGACTGGTCCACTTCACAGCATAGATGGCATCATGAAGACAGAACATTATGGAGAAATACTGAAGCAACATCTCAAGACATCAGCCAGGAAATTAAAACTTGGCCACAAATGGCTCTTCCAAACAGACCATGACCAAATTAGTGAAAATGTGCTTTAAGGGCTACAGAGTGAATGTTTTGGAGTGGCCATCACAAAGCCCTGATCTCAATCCTGTAGAAACAGCTAATCTGACTCAGCTAAACCAATTCTGTCAGGAGGAATGGGCCAAAATTCCTGCAAACTATTGTGAGAAGCTTTTGGAAGGACACCCAAAACATTTGAGCAAAGTTGTACAGTTTAAAAGCAAAGCTAAACAAATACCAAGCAAATGTGTGAAAACTTTTGACTGTCTAGAAATTAATAAAAAATTCTCCCAAAAATAATTCTCTCAATATTCTGGCATTTAGCAAATGTAAATCATTTATGAAATCCTAACAGACCTAAAATAGTAAAGGTTTAGTGTGATTTACTATCAGACATTTATTAAAATATGGTTATGTCCCTTTTATTAGAGTGTATGTAAACATCTGGTTTCAACTCTAAATGTCCGTGGTGTATAGTTATAATGTATATTTAAATACAGAGGCATTCACACACACAAAAGATTATATATATTTATTTGTATGTATGTATGTGTGGGTGTGTGTGTGAGTGTGTGAGTGTGTGTGTGTATTCATACACAAAACTGTGCATATATTTGAATATTTTAAAATTATTATAGTTTTTTGTATGTGTGTATTTTTGCACGCACTTTAAGATGAATCATTGCCCAGTACCAGTAATATCTACAAGTGATAAAGCAGCAGCTGATATGAGCCGTCTTTAGCTTTATGATCTGTACTGCTCACTGTACGCTCTTTTATTTTGATCAAATGCACCAGTAAATAATGTGATGTTATGTTTTGTGAGAGCAGTTTCAGTGTTTGAGCCTCTTTACAATATGCTGGTTTACAGTTACACTGCTGTTGTATTCTTTTGACTCATGTAAATGTTGTCTCTGCTGCTTCTCGTGATAATAAATCTAAAAGTCACAGTTATGCTGCTACACATGTCTACGTAAGCATTAGTGTTTTATGAGCATTTAACTAATCTTTTATTTATTAATTTTTTTATTAGTGCATGAATCACACATACAGAACAATGCCAGGGCTATGAAAAACAAAGATGTGAAAAGCACGACTGAGTTACACATAAATATATCAAATATACACAAGGAAAGCAATATAAAGAGATAAAAATAATAAATCAATCTATCAAAATATTACAAATATTACTGGGCCTTGCTTTGCTAACTCACAAGAACTTGAATGTATCAAACACATGCACACACGCACACACGCACACACACACACACGCACACACACACACAGACTTTCTGGTGAGAGCTCTAGGTACCACTGAAAAAGAGGTTTCCAGCTGCTGAATTTACAAGTAGATCATTAATATTACTTAAATGTATGCAGAATATAATATATAAATGATGATTAATACAAATATTCTAGCAAGTCATTCAGTTCATGACAGACTGTGACCTGTTTTGAATTAAGGTTGAGAATTGGCGCCCCCACTGGCATTTAAAAATAATGCAGAATTCTATATTCAACGTTTGGAGTTCATTTAAAGGGCCATGAAACCCCCTGGTTTCAGCAGGGTGTTTTCACACCTCTACTTTGAAAAAAGTCACAAAAGTGGGCGTGTCCAGCTCTGTTTAGGGGGGAGTGTCGGAGGAAGAAAAGAGGCTTAATGTGGGAGTGTCTATTTGGGCGCGCTGACTTTCAGAGTCAAAACACACACACAGGGGAGAAAGTGACTGTGTTTACATGGACATCTGTAGTGGAATTATTTGCCAAATTATTAAATGTTGGACTTTAACTGCAGTTTGGCTCTTTCATTCAGGGAATTCATTCATGTCCCTCGCGACAAACGAGATATTTGATTCGAGGATCTGCTCTAAGCGTGTATTTTTATGCAATGTTTGATACCGCATGGTGAATGAGAGAAAAAAAAACTCAGCATTTCCCGGAAACTTAGATGCACTCGGCAGGTAGTGTCAGGAAGCCGCGTGTGTTATTCCGGTCACAAAATCCAACACAAGGTTTGGTTATAGTGCTTAACACATAGTTTGGTTGTAGTGCTAACTTGTTTACACTCGGTGCAATAGTTTGTTTGATACGAATAAAATACGAACTGAATAAACAAAGAGCACTGGTCGCTCACTTACCAAATCTGTAGAGACAGGACAATCACCAGCAGCTAGAGCCGCGTCTTTATTAAGAGGAGACGAGCAGCGAATCTGGATCCCAGCGTTTGCAGATGAGAACAGCTCTTAGGTAAACAATAATCCTCCTTAGACACGTAAGTTATTGTTGTCGAGCGTCGCGTACACTGTTAATCCACACGTGACTCCAGCTGCGCTCTCACAGAGAGAAAATGAAAACGAAACTTCACTGCAGCAAACTATAAAAGCAACACTTCACGCTTGTTTTGCCAACACAACGTGGCGTCTCTGTCGTCTAAACACTGTGACAGTAATGAATATTAATGAAGTTGCACAATAGAGCGCGCTGATTGGTTTGAACCGAGCTTTACTCATGCATTAATGCATCACACTGTAAGATGTAATAAGACACACTCTGACACAGACGTCCAGTCTGCACGCTGGAATACACGCTATTATGTCATGACCGTGACGCAGCTTCAAAAATTCGTTTCAAACCGGAAGTACGAATTTGCTGGAAATAACGCAAAAACAACCAATTTACACTTTTTAGTGAAATATAGGTGTCCTAATAGTGTTTTTAGCAGTGTGGGACACATATACGACTGTCAACAGCTCAAAACATGTGTTTTGGTGTTTCGTGACCCTTTAAATTAAAACAGGCACAATTTAGGATGTAAAATGACATTTAAATGCATGTATATGTTTAACTATTATTATTATTTTAATTATTATTATAAAAATACAATATGATTTATTTAGTGTTCTGTGTAAGTGTATATAAGACCTTTGTGCACTTATCTTGATATGTCTGACAAACTCAAAAATAATCCCCTTAGCCCTTAGAACAGCAAGTTTATTTCTATACACACACACACACACACACACACACACACACACACACACACTATAATCTGCTGTTTTACTCCTCTGAGCAGTGTGATTATAATAGAAGTCAATGGGGCACTAACATAACCAAAGGGGAGTCGATCTAAACAACTCACAAGGGTTAACTGTGATGTGGCGAGTGTGTGAGAGTGATTGATGTGTGTTTTCTCTCCTCCTTCAGCATCATCAATGGCTTTGCCTTACCACTGAAAGAAGAGCACAAAATCTTCCTTTTAAAAGTTTTGTTACCTTTGCATAAAGTGAAGTCCCTCAGTGTTTATCACCCACAGGTACGGCAGATTATTGACTTTCTCATGCACGCTTCACGATTGAATGAGGAAACACTATTTTGGATATCTTATGTTCATGAAATGATGCAAAACTATTTGTTTTTTCTTCACAGTTTACAATATTGTAAAATATGTGTATTCAAATGTATATATTTTCTGTAAGCATGAGGGATTAATAATCAGCAAAAAAAAAAAATAATAATTGAAAAAGACTGAAAAAAGTAGCATAATTTATGATCTCTATATATAAACGTTAATGTATTATGTAAACAATATTTAAACTAATATTATATTATATTATATTATATTATATTATATTATATTATATTATATTATATTGTTTTACATTATATTATATTTTATTATATTATATTTTATTTTATTATGTTATATTATATATTATTATATTATTTTATTTTATATTAAATGTTATTATATTTTATTATATTATTTTATATTATATTATTTTTGAGTATATTATATTATATTTTATGTTATTATATTTTATTATTTATATTGTATTATATTATATTATAATTTATTTTATTATTTATATTATTATATTTTATTGTATTAAATTATATTTTATTATATTAGTTATATTTTATTATATTAAATTATATTTTATTTTAGTATATTTTATTATTTATATTTCATTTTATTATATTACATTATATTGTTATTATATTTTATGTTATTATATTTTATTATTTATATTTTATTATATTATATTATAATTTATTTTATTATTTATATTATTATATTTTATTGTATTAAATAATATTTTATTATATTAGTTATATTTTATTATATTAAATTATATTTTATTTTAGTATATTTTATTATTTATATTTTATTTTATTATATTAAATTATATTTTATTTTAGTATATTTTATTATTTATATTTTATTTTATTATATTGTTATTATATATTATTTTATTATATTTTATTATTTATATTTTTTTATTTGTATTATATTATATATTTTTAAATTTTATTATTTATATTATATTATATTTTATTTTTTATATTATATTATATTATATTATATTATATTATATTATATTATATTATATTATATTATATTATATTATATTATATTATATTCGTCTTATTATAAAATTACCAATTAATTTTTTTTGTATACATTAGCAAATGTGTTATATAAAATATTTTTATAAACTACAATATATCTTATATCATCTTGTTGAAATCATTTATAATTCATGATCTCTCTATGTAAACAAAAAATATTATAATATATAAATTATATGATCATATATTTGACTGTGCTTAATATAAATGCATATTGTTTTATTTTTAAATGAATGATTTGTCTCCTACTCCAATTTAGATGGGATAACTTGTATAAAAATAGTATTTGTTATACTTTAATTTAACATATGATGCACCAGATGTAAATTAATGCTGTTGAGTGTATAATGGACAATATAAATCACATATTACTGATGAATGTGTGTATTATCGTATAAAAGGCATGAATATGAAGGTAAATACTGTGTTTTTGTGTTGTTTCTCCATTAGCTGGCTTACTGTGTGGTTCAGTTTCTGGAGAAGGACAGCACACTCACTGAGCCTGTGAGTTTTAGCGCCACCTGCTGTTCACTTGCTCAATTTAGTTGTGTATCATAAGCTTGATTTTATCTTTTATACATACAGTTTAAGTCAGAATTAAATGCCCTCCTGTGAATGTTTATGTCAAATATTTCCTAAATGATGTTTGACAAATTCAGGAATTGTTCACAGTATTTCCTATAATATTTTTTCTTCTGGAAAAAAGTTTTATTTGTTTCATTTCGGCTTGAATTAAAGCAGTTTTAAATTTTTTTAAAGCTATTTTATTAGCCCCCTTAAGCAATATTAGTTTTGGATTGTCTCCAGAACAATTTACTGTTATACAATATCTTGCCTAATTACCCTAACTTTACCCTAATTACCCTAGTGAAGCCTTTACATGTCACTTTAAGCTGTATAGAAGTGTCTTGAAGAATATCTAGTCTAATATTATGTCCAAAGAGAAAATACATCAGTGATTAGAGATGAGTTATTAAACTATTATGACTAGAAATGTGTTGAACAAAGTCTGCTCTTCCTCCAGCAGTCTCAGCGTGCTGTGCAGTGTTTGTGAGGTGTGTGTTGGTGTTTTTCAGGTGGTCATGGCTCTCCTAAAATACTGGCCCAAAACGCACAGTCCGAAAGAGGTGATGTTTCTGAACGAGCTGGAGGAGATCCTGGACGTCATCGAACCCTCAGAGTTTGTGAAGGTGATGGAGCCGCTGTTCAGACAGCTCGCCAAGTGTGTGTCCAGCCCACATTTCCAGGTGCGTTCACTCTCAAGCCTGTTTCACACCGCAAGCGTAAGCAGCGCGTGTTTTTTCGGCGTCCATGTAAACAGATTAGAGCTTTCATACCGCACAGCAGCGTGAGCGTCGCTGAAGTAGCAGTGCAGCGATAGTTTCGGCGCTGGGTCTATTTTTGCTGCTCACGCTCAATTAAAGTGACAGTGCATTGATAATGACCAAAACACATTGAATGACAGTAATTTTACCCAATAAATGCGTTAATAATATCAACTCATTTATTTAGAGTCAAACAAATGAACTTAAGCGATTAAAAACAGCAAGAAACATTTATTTAGGCCTGAACTACTAAACCAAATGTAAAACAACTGTAGTATCAGTTTTGCTTGAATTGCGCGCTAGTGTTGCAGGAGAGGGGGAATAGAAGCGGCCGCTTTAAGACTGCTATTTACAGGAGTTATAGTCCAGAGCGAAGTGTATTGTGGGTAGTGTAGTTTGACACGCATGCTGGATGATGTGAGCTCACTGTGCAGCTAAAGCAGAGGAAGAAGGTTGATTCAGCTTTGTTTTATGTTCACTCAAGTTATTCCACACGGGAGCTGATTACTTCTGTTTGTCGTATCCTTTGCACAAGCTGTTACTCTGCCGCTGGACATTACTGAAGTGGAGAAAGTAACACTAGTTTGATCATGTATAAATATCGTTAGAGCAATTGTAGTGGCACACCTTTCGTGCAAAATCCTTATGTACCACCTTTTTGCAGCTTGTATTTGCAATAACGTGAGTGAGACCGAATCTTCTTTTAAAAAAGTTTACTGAAGAAATGCAAACAAAAATACAAAGTTACAATAGACTTGATCAGCTCGGTCAAAACACTGTGTTTCTGCGAACATCAATAACTGCAATCTGACTTAAACGTATGAACTAATGACCTCATGACGTATTGCTGTCGGAAGCCAAAATACCATAGTAACTGTTTTTAAATTGTATGAATTATTAAATTATGCATTTTGGATAATACAATCACAATGAATTCTTATTATGTTTAAATATCAATTTTCACCATGTTTGAACCTTTTTGACTAAATTATTATCACAAATTAATTATGCATAACTGGCTCTTACAGCTATATTGTATAAAAATTATTATAACTCTGCCTACAACAGCCTGACAATCAAAAGCAAACATCACAGTCGACTGTCTTCTGAGTGCACCAGACATGAATGACGCTCCTCATAGAGCTTGAGAAGCAGACAGTACTGTATGATCTATATCACTTTTAAACTAAAGATTTGCAGGTTAAGAAAACAGCAAGGGAGGAGGTTGCTGCGGGCCTTGGTGCAGATGAAAAGTAAAAAAAAAAAAAAAAAGTGTATTTGTATGTAGAGAGAGATGGGTAACTAGAGAGAATAGACAGGGATAGATTGATCTGGCAAACAACAAAAAATAAGGTCAAGAATCTTGGTGTGACTCTGGAGTCAGATCTGAGTTTTAACAGTCATGTCAAAGCAGTCAGTAAATCAGCATACTATCATCTCAGAAACATAGCAAGAATCAGATGCTTTGTTTCCAGTGAAGACTTAGAGAAACTTGCTCATGCTTTTATCAGCAGCAGGGTGGATTACTGTAATGGACTCCTCACTGGTCTTCCTAAAAAGACAGTCAGACAGTTGCAGCTCATCCAGAATTCTGACCAGAAGCAGGAAATCAGAGCACATCACACCTGTCCTCAGGTCTTTACACTGGCTGCCAGTTACATTCAGAATAGAGTTTAAAGTATTATTACTGGTCTATAAATCACTAAATGGCCTAGGAGCTCAATACATTACAGATATGCTCACTGAATACAAACCCAACAGATCACTCAGATCTTTAGGATCATATAAACTAGAAGTTCCAAGAGGTCAGTCAAAGCAGGGTGAATCTGCCTTCAGCCACTAACAGCGCCCCCCGCTGCTGGAATCAGCTTCCAGAAATGATCAGACGTGCTCCAACATTAGGCACATTCACATCAAGACTGAAAACACATCTGTTTAGCTGTGCCTTTACTGAATGAGCCCTGTGCTGCGTCCGACAGATCGCACTATTAAGTTTTTCTCTTCTTCTTCATTCTTTTATATCACATTTTACCCGTTTTTTGTTTTGTTTTATTTTTATTAATTTTTATTATTTGTTTTTATTTTTATTTTACTTGTTTCTTTTATTCTTGTTTATGTAAAGCACTTTGAATTGCCACTGTGTATGAAACGTGCTATATAAATAAACTTGCCTTGCCTTGTGCAGCAGCTGCCGAAGAGCTGTGCGCTGCAGACGCAGCTGGTGTGAAAAGCAAACGCCTGCGTGCTTCTTCTGCTCTCCATATGCGCTGTGAAACAGCCGTCAATCCTAATGATGCTTAACTTTAATGATTTGATTCAGTTTAAAACACCACAAGTTATGGGTAAGGAATGAATGATTGCTCGTTTCCACTGAGCGATACGATACGGTTCTGTGTGCTTGTTTTGTCTGTTTCCTCTGTCAAAGGCTGCGTTTACACTGGAGAGCTTGATGGATATGTAATAGGCATATGACTATATGAAGAGAGAATTATGAGTAGGGCGGGAAGTTTCACGAGTCTCCGGATGCCCGCAAACGAGTGATGATCTCCCGGTAATCTTGCCTCTCCCTCCCTCAAATAGGCATCGTCGCGCACCCTTCTCACCCCTCCCCACCGCGTCCCTCCTCAGACATGTCGCGCGCACCCTGTCAATCACCACCAAACCACCACCTCTCCTGACAGCTGAGCGGGACGCTGCAAAATAAACCCTGACACTCTGACCAATGTAAGGAGAGTTTACTCACACGTGACTTGTTTTAGCTCTTTTGATCTGATTAGAAACTTTGCAGTGTGAAAGCGAACCGCTCCAAGAGCAAAGAGCAACAATATAACAATTGTAATCTCTGTTTCGGAACAACTGAATCCATTCACAGGTGTGAAAGCACCCTAAGATGTAGGACAGCAGCCCTCCAGGACCGAGTTTGGACACCCCTAGTCTAAACAAAGCCAGCATCAATGGAAAGCTCATTTATTCAGCTGTCAGAATGTGTGTAAATCTCAAGTGCAAAACATCGAGGTATTCCTGACTGTGTTTGTGTAATTTTGTGTGCTGTGTTTGTCAGGTAGCGGAGCGAGCGCTGTACTACTGGAATAATGAGTACATCATGAGTTTAATCAGCGATAACGCAGCCAAAATCCTGCCCATCATGTTCCCTTCACTCTACAGAAACTCCAAAACCCACTGGAATAAGTGAGTCTCAGAAAGCACACTTCACACCGCTCGCTGACAACATTAATAAACAATAATATCTAGTCATTCTGAAGATGATTTGTCACATGGAAAAAAGATGCATTGAAAACACTTATTCCTACAATGCACGACTTTTAAAGGGCATCGATTATAGAACTCACTTTTATAGAGGTTTAAACCCAGTTGTGTGTCTGCCGTGTGTAAATATCCCCCAGCCTCTAGTGGTAATCATGAATTAATTGTATTTGTTATAATCAGACTTGATAAAGGAAACACTTCCATTGACATTCAGGGTGAAATGCCACAGCTAGATCACCCTGCAGCCCAAGACTGGGTACTCACCTAGCAGGGCTGAGCCTGGTCAGTGCCTGGATGGGAGACCACATGGGAACACTAGGTTGCTTTTGGAAGTGGTGTTCGTGAGGCCAGCAGGGGGCGCTTAACATGTGGTCTTTGTGAGTCCTGATGCCCCAGTATAGTGTTGCGTGTTTAAGTTATTAAGATGTTAAATGGATGAAACGTAACAGTCAGTGAGTCTCTAATGATGCTGGATGAAAAATGAGAAGACACTGCTGGTCAAGTGAAACAAAAAGTAAGTATTTATTAAACAGAGAATGTCAAACAATGAATATTAGATGTAATGTAAATGTAATTTCTTAAATAAATGACTTAAACGAAAAACAGGAGTGTTGCCAAAACAAAGAATTGAATATAACAAAAGGATCTAACTAAACCCCGACCCACTCAACCAGGGCTTAGAGGTCTGCACCCGACCAGATTTCTGCGGCGCGGGTATACATTTCCGAATAAATCGTGGGAGCGGTCTCTAACGGGTTTAATTTGGGACGGGAGCGGGCCGTCTAGCAATATCACTCCCGACTCCCGAGTGAGCACGCGTATGTATGTGTGTAAATGAAATGTGTATGTGTGTATGTATATGTGTATGTGTACGTGTGCGCATGCGCGAATGAGAGATGTGTGCGCGCACGCGAATGAGAGAGAGAGAGAGCTTTGCCTGTGTGTGTGCGCTTGGTACTTATGTGTGTGTGTGTGTTAGTGTGCGCGCGCAAATGAGAGAGAGAGAGAGAGAGAGCGAGCAAGCGAGAGCGAGAGCGAGAGCTTTGCCTGTGTGTGTGCTTGGTGCTTATGTGTGTGTGTTAGTGCGCGAATGAGAGAGAGAAAGAGCTTTGTCAGTGTGTGTGTGCTTGGTGCTGTGTGTGTGTGTGTGTTTATACAGACAAACGGGGCGGGTCGTGCAGCGGGACAACAAGTGCTTAATGTAAGCGGGAGCGGTCGGGTTCGGGCTAAAACCTGGCGGGCGGGAGCGGGATTCAAAATTTAGTCCCGTGCAGATCTCTACCAGGGGTCACCAATCTTAGTCCTGGAGGGCCGGTGTCCCTGCAGGGTTTAGCTCCAACTTGCCTCAACACACCTGCCTGGGTGTTTCAAGCATACCTAGAAAGAGCTTGATTGACTTGTTCAGGTGTGTTTGATTAGGGCTGGAGCTAAAATCTGCAGGACACCGGCCCTCCTGGAACAAGTTTGGTGACCCCTGCACTAAACTATTTACCAAAGAAAAATGCAGAAACAAAAGCGTAATCTTCAGCACGCCGCTTAACTACACTTCATAACTACTTCAAAACACAATTACACATGTGGCAACGTCTCCCTAAACTAACTAACAAATAAAGGTACTATGCTGTCCAAATGACTAGAGTTCTGGTAAAGCACACACTGTTAGCCATTAGCAAAACAAGAGCTATTAATCCAATTCTCATTAAGATCGTTCAACAGTATTTGTAAAGTAGACATCAAATTCTGTTGTAGTTTGGGCAGATTGGTGGTATTTGAGTTGAATTTAGCTTTTAAAATCATCTAAACACAATGTTTAATGTGGATTGCTGTAGCAAAGTAATGCTTTACAACTCTGAGTATTCTTGTTGCACAATAATAAAGAACTGTCGGTCAGTAATGTCTATCCAAAATCCTCAGATATAAAAACTAGACATTTTAAGCTTTCAGTTGATATATAGTTGGTCATGATTGCTTTATGGGTAGATTTTATAATATTATGGTTTAAAAATATATTCATAAATGCTCCCACAGGTTGTTGGCTGACAGTAAATGTGCTTTAATCTGTTGCTCTTCCTATGTAACTAAAAACTGAGGTGAAAGATGTATTCAGAAGTCCTGGACCTTTCCGCTGATATATAGTGTGTCGTGATTGGATTAGGGTTTAGTTGTAAAAATGTGATGTAAGTTAAAGTGATGTTTAATGGGTTAAAACACAACAAAACAAGCACAGAACTAAAGACGGTTTCCTCTTCCTGTTTTGAGGACGATTCACGGGCTGATCTACAACGCTCTGAAGCTGTTTATGGAGATGAACCAGAAGCTGTTTGATGACTGCACACAGCAGTTCAGAGCCGAGAAAAACAAGTAGGAAGAGCTTTCAGTAACTCTCACACACTGTCACGAGCTCTCTTCACTCAGTTTTTACTCTTCTCTGTGTGTGAAACTAGAGAGAAAGCCAAGTGGAAAGAGCGCGAGGAGGCCTGGATCAAGATCGAGAATCTCGCCAAATCAAACCCACAGGTGAGCGCATCTCATTACCAGTGCATGAATATTCATAACACTTCTTGTGATCTTCTCATCAATTAAAATTTTCTGCATTTAATTTAATTTTAATTTAATTAATTACTTTATTGATTTTTTTTTGTTTTCTGTCTGTATGGCTGGCTATATCTAACTTTTTTATTCTATTTTTATATTCATTTCATTTATATTTTTTTAGATGATTATTTAAATTTATTTTTTATATTATTATTATTTTATATTTTTTTTCTTATTTTTTATTTAATTTTTATTAATTTTAATTTATTAAATCTATCTATCCATCAATCCACCCATCCATCAATCCACCCATCCATCCGTCCATCCGTCCGTCTGTCTGTTTGTCTGTCCTTTTGTCCATCCATTTTTCCATCCTTCCGTCCGTCTGTCCGTCTATCCGTCTATCTATCCATCTATCCGTCCGTCCGTCCGTCCATCCATTCATACATTCTTTCATCCTTCCATCCATCTATCTATCCGTCTGTCTGTCCGTCCTTCCATCCGTCTATCCGTCTGTCCGTCTATTCATACATTCTTCCATCCTTCCGTCTGTCTGTCCGTCCATCTATCTATCCATCTGTCTGTCCGTCTGTCTGTGTCCTCCCATTCATCTATTCTTCCATCCATCCGTCTGTCTGTGTTTGTCTGTCTGTCCTTTTGTCCGTCCATTCATCCATTTTTCCATCCTTCCGTCCGTCTATCTATCCGTCTGTCTGTCCGTCCGTCCGTCCATTCATACATTCTTCCATCCTTCCATCTGTCTGTCTGCCATCTATCTATCTAGCCATCCTTCCATCCGTCCGTCTGTCTATCTATCCATATATATATTTATCTGTCTGTCTGTCCATCTGTCTGTGTGTCCTTCCATTCATCTATTCTTCCATCCGTCTGTCTTGTCTGTCTGTCTGTGTCCGTCCGTCCATTCATCCATTCTTCCATCCCTCCATCCATCTATCCATCTATCCATCCATCCTTCTGTCCATCTATCCATCCATCCTTCTGTCCGTCTGTCTGTCCGTCCGTCCGTCCGTCTCTCTGTCTGTCTGTTAGTCCGTCAGTCCGTTTAATAAAAAAAAACATTTTTTATTTATTTTAATTTCATTCATATTCATTTATTTATAAATTTTATAGATTTTAATTTTCTTATTTTCAAATTTATTTTTTAATCAAATTAATTTTAATTGAATTTTATTTTAATTAATTTATTTTAATTATTTATTTCATTTAACTATTTATTATTGTTATTTTATTAGGTATTAGGTACATTTTATGATTATTTCATTTATTTTCATTTCATTAATTCATATTTGTTTTATAGAATTTTCTAAAAATATATTTTTAATTAATACAATTTTTATTGAATTGTATTTTAATTATGTAACTTTAATTAGTCTTTCTATGTTGCTTTATATTATTTTTATTTTCATTTCATTTCAATAATTCATATTTATTTATATTCTTATATTTATTTTTACATTTATTAAAAAAATATTTAATATTTTTTTCATTTATTTAATATTTTATAAATGTGATTGTTTTTATAGTTAAATTTTTAAATTATTATTGAATCAATTGTATTATAATAAATCAATTTTAATTCCATCCATCTAGGCTAGTTAGTTTAGGTCTGTTTGTCTGTTTATCTATTTAACCATCTATGCTATTTCATATTATTTTATTTTCATTCATTCATATTTATGTGTTTTTATATTATTTATTATTTTTATTTTTTTATTCTGTTTTTAGAAGTTTTATTAATGCTGTTTGTGCTTTAGTTTCTCATGTACATCGACGCCAATAGCCTCTGCAGTCCGATGGACATGGAGACTGATGGGCCGATGCTTGAAGACGTCCTGATGCTGAAGAAAACTGTAGAAGAAGAAGCCACTCCAGTAAGAAACAAGCCTCTTGCTCAACAAAGCTGCATTTATTCAATTTAAAATCATGAAAATATTATTGAAAATTTAAAAATGTGAATATCTAGTAAGATGTAAATCATAGTTTGTTGATACACAAGCATCACTTGATCTTTCCGAAATCACAGTATGCAGTTGAGGGCAAGAGTAATTTTTCATTATGCTTAAACTGTGTGTTTATATAGACGTAATCTTGTGTGTGTTGTTGTGTGTGTTCAGTTGCACAGAGAGCAGCGTAAGGAGCGTCCGCTGATGCGGCGTAAGTCTGAGCTTCCTCAGGACACGAGCACCGTGAAGGCGCTGGAAACACACCGGCGTGCAGAGGACATGATCGGCACTCAGGATGGCCACTAGAGGACACAAGCACATGCACACACAAATACACACACACACACACACATCTCAAACCAAACCCGGTGTTCTGACGATATGTGCTAAACCCTCAGAGTGTATCTAAATCTGTCATGTTTCATCTAAAAACACAGGGGCTCTATCACAACTTCTCTGCTTCAAATGTGTTAGAGTTAACTTCCACCTTAAATTAGAACTTCCACTTTGAATTAGGACTTCCACCTTAAATTAGAACTTCCACTTTGAATTAGGACTTCCACCTTAAATTAGGACTTCCACTTTAAAATTGGACTTCCACCTTAAATTAGGACTTCCACCTTAAATTTGGACTTTTACCTTAAATTAGGACTTCCACCTTAAATTAGGACTTCCACTTTAAATTTGGACTTCCACCTTAAATTTGGACTTCCACCTTAAATTAGGACTTCCACTTTAAATTTGGACTTCCACCTTAAATTAGGACTTCCACTTTAAAATTGGACTTCCACCTTAAATTAGGACTTCCACCTTAAATTAGGACTTCCACCTTAAATTTGGACTTCCACCTTAAATTAGGACTTCCACTTTAAATTTGGACTTCCACCTTAAATTAGGACTTCCACCTTAAATTAGGTCTTCCACTTTAAATTAGGACTTCCACCTTAAATTAGGACTTTCACTTTAAATTAGGACTTCCACCTTAAATTAAGACTTCCACCTTAAATTAGGACTTCCACTTTAAAATTGGACTTCCACCTTAAATTAGGACTTCCACCTTAACTTAGGATTTCCACTTTAAATTAGGCATCCACTTTAAATTAGGACTTCCACCTTAAATTAGGACTTCCACTTTAAATTAGGCATCCACCCTAAATTAGGACTTCCACCTTAAATTAGGACTTTCACATTAAATTAGGCATCCACCTTAAATTAGGACTTTCACTTTAAATTAGGCATCCACCCTAAATTAGGACTTCCACCTTAAATTAGGACTTTCACATTAAATTAGGCATCCACCTTAAATTTGGACATCCACCTTAAATTTGGACATCCACCTTAAATTAGGACTTCCACCTTAAATTTGGACTTCCACCTTAAATTTGGACTTCCACCTTAAATTAGGACTTCCACTTTAAATTTGGACTTCCACCTTAAATTAGGACTTCCACCTTAAATTAGGTCTTCCACTTTAAATTAGGACTTCCACCTTAAATTAGGACTTTCACTTTAAATTAGGACTTCCACCTTAAATTAAGACTTCCACCTTAAATTAGGACTTCCACTTTAAAATTGGACTTCCACCTTAAATTAGGACTTCCACCTTAACTTAGGATTTCCACTTTAAATTAGGCATCCACTTTAAATTAGGACTTCCACCTTAAATTAGGACTTCCACTTTAAATTAGGCATCCACCCTAAATTAGGACTTCCACCTTAAATTAGGACTTTCACATTAAATTAGGCATCCACCTTAAATTAGGACTTTCACTTTAAATTAGGCATCCACCCTAAATTAGGACTTCCACCTTAAATTAGGACTTTCACATTAAATTAGGCATCCACCTTAAATTTGGACATCCACCTTAAATTTGGACATCCACCTTAAATTAGGACTTCCACCTTAGATAAGGATGTAAAATTAGGGGTAGCACACTTTGTCAGCTCTAAACATCTTTTGAAATGAGCTACCACTCTAATAATACGTGAACACATTTTCAACATTTTATGATGATTGACATTTGAAAGCTGACAGTGGGTTCTACTTGCTACCCCTGTTTTTACAGTACATCCTCATTTAAGCCGGCATTTATCTGTGATGGACATTTGGAAGCTGACATGATGTGCTACATGTTTTTACATCCTTATTTTACGGTAGAAGTTCATTCCAATAGCCATTTAGAGCTGACAAAATGTGCTCTCTCTGTTTTTACAACCTTATTTAAGGTGGTATTGAAACCTGATAGACTTTTGGAAGCTGTCAAAATGCGTTACTTCTGTTTTTACACCTTCATTTAAGGCAGTAGTCCTCATTTAAGGTAGAAATTTATTCCAATAGACACTTGAAGCTGACAGAATGTGCCAACCTGTGTTTTTACATCATTATTTAAGGTGGAAGTCCATTCCTATAGACATTTAGAGCTGACAAATTGTGCTCTCTCTGTTTTTACAACCTTATTTAAGGTGGTATTGAAACCTGATAGACTTTTGGAAGCTGTCAAAATGCATTACTTCTGTTTTTACACCTTCATTTAAGGCAGTAGTCCTCATTTAAGGTAGAAATTTATTCCAATAGACACTTGAAGCTGACAGAATGTGCCAACCTGTGTTTTTACATCATTATTTAAGGTGGAAGTCCATTCCTATAGACATTTAGAGCTGACAAATTGTGCTCTCTCTGTTTTTACAACCTTATTTAAGGTGGTATTGAAACCTGATAGACTTTTGGAAGCTGTCAAAATGCGTTACTTCTGTTTTTACACCTTCATTTAAGGCAGTAGTCCTCATTTAAGGTGGACATTTATTCCAATAGACACTTGAAGCTGACAGAATGTGCCAACCTGTGTTTTTACATCTTTATTTAAGGTGGTAGTTTATTCTGATTTACACGTTAAGTGGACAAAATGTGTTACAGCTGTTTTAACGTCTTTATTTTAAGGTGGTAGCTCAATCCAATAGACATTTAGAAGCAGTCAGTATGTCAATCTTCCAAATGTCAATCAGTTAGATACCACCTTAAATAAGGGTTAAAAAACTCTGATGGACATTTGGAAGTTGACAAAATGGGCTACTCCTGTTTTTTTACATCCTTATTTAAGGTGCTATACCTTATTTAAGGTGGTATTTAACTCTGATAGACATTTTGAAGCTGACAAAATGCGCTACCCCTGTTTTTACAGCCTTATTTAAGGCGGTAGTCCTCATTTAAGGTGGAAATTTATTCTGATTGACCTTTAAAGCTGACAAAATGTGCCAACCTGTGTTTTTACAACCTTATTTAAGGTAGTATTCAACTCGGATGGACATTTGGAAGCTGCCCAAATATGCTACTTCTGTTTTTTCTGTCTTCATTTAAGGTTGTAATCCTTATTTAAGGTGGTATGTAACTCTAATTGACATTTGGAAGCTGACAAAATGTGCTACTCCTGTTTTTACGTCCTTATTTAATGTGGCAGTCCTAATTTAAGGTGGTAGCCCCAATTTAAGGTGGCACTCTTAATTTCAGGTGGTAGCCCCAATTTAAGGTGACAGTCATAATTTTTAGGGTGGCAGTCATAATTTAAGGTGGTAGTCCTAATTTAAGGTGGCAGTCTTAATTTAAGGTGGTATTCACAATTTATGGTTGTAATCCTTATTTAAGGTAGTATGTAACTCTAATTGTAATTTGGAAACTGACAAAATGTGCTACTCCTGTTTTTACGTCCTTATTTAATGTGGCAGTCCTAATTTAAGGTGGTAGCCCCAATTTAAGGTGGCACTCTTAATTTCAGGTGGTAGCCCCAATTTAAGGTGACAGTCATAATTTTTAGGGTGGCAGTCATAATTTAAGGTGGTAGTCCTAATTTAAGGTGGCAGTCTTAATTTAAGGTGGTAGCCCCAATTTATGGTTGAAATCCTTATTTAAGGTAGTATGTAACTCTAATTGTAATTTGGAAACTGACAAAATGTGCTACTCCTGTTTTTACGTCCTTATTTAATGTGGCAGTCCTAATTTAAGGTGGTAGCCCCAATTTAAGGTGGCACTCTTAATTTCAGGTGGTAGCCCCAATTTAAGGTGACAGTCATAATTTTTAGGGTGGCAGTCATAATTTAAGGTGGTAGTCCTAATTTAAGGTGGCAGTCTTAATTTAAGGTGGTAGCCCCAATTTAAGGTGACAGTCATAATTTTTAGGGTGGCAGTCTTAATTTAAGGTGGTATTCACAATTTATGGTGGCAGTCCTAGTTTAAGGTGGCAGTCTTAATTTAAGGTGTCAGTCTTAATTTAAGGTGTCAGTCCCAATTTAAGGTGTCAGTCTTAATTCAAGGTGTCAGTCTTAATTTAAGGTGGTAGTCCCAATTTAAGGTGTCAGTCTTAATTCAAGGTGTCAGTCCTAATTTAAGGTGGTAGTCCCAATTTAAGGTGTCAGTCTTAATTCAAGGTGTCAGTCCTAATTTAAGGTGGTAGTCCCAATTTAAGGTGGCAGTCTTAATTTAAGGTGGAAGTTTATTCCAGTACACATTTGAAGTGAATAAGATGTGTTTCCCTTGTTTTTTTTTTAGATGAAACATGTCAGATCTAGCGCTAGCACATTCTGCGGATTTAGCACATTTCGTCAGAACACCGGCCCAGTCTCACCGACGCAGCGGACCCGCAAACTATCCCGTCCCACACCCTCGTCCAGTCCTTTCTGTCCTCTTTCGTTCATCTGTCTCTCTCTCTCTCTCTCTCTCTCTCTTAAACGCTGTGCCTGTAGCGAATGAAAACAGGCGCATGAGCACTTGACGTGACTGTATTCGGAGCGATTCTCAGGTTGTTCGGAGGCCGAGAGAGCAGCACTTTTGGTCTCTTCGGTGGTTTGTGTCTTTTACGTGTCATTTCAGTCTTAACGTTTGCCGTTCGAAACATCGATAAGAAAAAAAAAACACGTTTGTGCGAATTCTTTGGCAATAAGTTCGTCCAGGGGAGGGTTTTGGTTGTTCAAACAATGGTAAACGGCCTTACTATGTTTTATTTAGTTTTGTTTGTTAACGTAAACGCAAATTTAAAAGTACAAGCATTACTAACAGGCAATATTCAAGCGTTTATTCGCCCACTTTCTCTTTCGACCAAGCCTTTATTTGCATAGAGTGCCTTTCTGTAGATGAAGGATAACTGTAATGGCATAAATAAACGATTTTTAGCGAACGAGCCCAACGATAGACTTCCTGATAAACTTGAACGCCTCTTTATTTTACTTCTTTATGAATCCTTCTGAACCATTGTTTGAACTTCCATCCGGTTTCGCCTGGTTTGAACTGTTTATCTTCTGGTCTGCGTTTGTCCGTGACGTGATTTCAGACGCTCGCACTTTTATTTTAATATATATATATATATATATATATATATTTTCTCGGCCCTTATAAGCTTGTCGGTGTTCAATTTGAATGTGCAAAATTACAATAGCTCATTTTTTTCAGTCTCCAAACGTTAATATCTGTGTTTTCTGCGTTTAATTTAAATTCTCTTCTCTTTATGACTGTAGAGCTTCAAACGTAGTCGACGAAAGATTCATTTCTCCTCCGGAAAACGCCGGTGTCCAAAAAAGGATCACTCAAAATAAGAGACGTTTCTTTCCCGAGCTTTTATTGTGGTGAATTTCACTCATTTGACGACAAAGAAAAATACTGCAAAGTGTCCTTTAGTCCGCGTCCCCCTACTCCACGGCTTCATCTGATATTGTACATATTATGTACTGTTATGATCCATCTCCTATTGAGTGGTAGATCTCTTATTTTGTACAAATCTTTTCTCTCGTGTACAGATGAAAACAGTTATTAGCCACTTGCAGACAGTTGTATTTGACAGACTTCTGTATCTGCGTTAGAAATGTTTTAGAGGTTTAATTTCTGATGTTTTTTGTTGGTTTTTTTACTATTTGTAATTGAGATCTTTTCTGTCTCTGCATTCAGCTGTCTGATGAGATCCATCATTAAAAATAGCCTTCATATGTGCTCTTCTCCAAATCTCAAGTGGTATATGTCTATATACAGGAAATAAAGAAGACGTGTTTTATATTTTCATCTTAGACGGGTCTGCTCATTGTATTCTTTTGTGTGTGTGTGTGCGTGTGTGCGTGTGTGTGTGTGTGCGCGTGTGTGTGTGTGTGTGTGTGTGCGCGTGTGTGTGTGTGTGTGTGTGTGTGTGTGTGTGTGTGTGTGCGCGCATAATGTGCTACATGTTTTTACATCCTCATTTCAGGTGGTAGTTCATTCCAATAGACATTTGGAGCTGATTAAATGTGCTGTCACTGTTTTTACATCCTCATTTAAGGCGGTATTTAAGGCGGAAAGATTTTTGAAACTGACCAAATGTGCCAACCTGTGTGTTTACATCCTTAATACTTAAAGGGTAGTTCATTCTGATTTGCATGGTAAGCGAACACAATGTGCTACCCCTTTTTTACGTCCCTATTAAAGGCAGTATACCTTATTTAAGGTGGTATTGAATTATGCTAAACTTTCGGAAGCTGTCAAAATGCTCTACTTGTGTTTTTACATCTTTATTTAAGGTGGTATACCTTATTTAAGGTGGTGCTCTGCTTAGCTTTTAGAGCTTATAAAATGTGCTACCACTGTTTTTGCATTTTTATTTAAGGTGGTAGTCTTTATTTAAGGTGGTATTGAACTCCAATTAGACTTTTGAAAGCTGTCAAAATGTGCTACTCCTGTCTTTACATCCTTATTTAGGCAGTAGTCCTCATTTAAGGTGGAAATTTATTCCAATAGACATTTGGAGCTGATTCAATGTGCTAACCCTGTTTTTACATCCTTATTTAAGGCGGTAATCCAAATTTAAGGTGGAAATTTATTCTGATAGACATTTGAAACTGACCAAATGTGCCAACCTGTGTGTTTACATCCTTATTGAAAGGGTAGTACATTCTGATTTACATGGTAAGAGGACAAAATTTGCTACCCCTTTTTAAGGCGGTATACCTTATTTAAGTTGATATTGAACTCTGCTTAACTTTTGGAGCTGATAAAATGTGCTACCACTGTTTTTGCATTTTTATGTAAGGTGGTAGTCTTTATGTAAGGTGGTATTGAACTCTGATAGACTCTCGGAAGATGTCAAAATGCACTAGTTCTGTTTTTACACCCTTATTCAAGGTATTGAATTCCAAAAAAATGTGCTACCACTTTTTTCACATCTTTAATTAAGGTGGCAATCCTTATTTAAGGTGGTATTGAGCTGAAATAATTTTAGAAGCTGCCAAAATGCGCTACTCCTGTTTTACACCCTTATTTAAGGTGTTAGTTGTCATTTAGGGTGGAAATTTATTTCGACAGACATTTCAAGCAGAAAAATGTGCTACCACTGTATTGACATCCTTAAGGCATACCGCCTTAATTAAGGATGTAAAAACAGTGGTATCACATCAGCACATCAACCTTGTTTAGGTGGTGACTCTTATTTAAGGTGGTATTGAGCTTTAATACAATTTTAGAAGTTGCCAAAATGCGCTACTCCTGTTTTACACTCTTATTAAAGGCGGTAATCCTCATTTGAGGTGAAAATTTATTCTGGAAGACATTTGAAACTGACAAAATGTGCCAATCTGTGTTGTTTCATCCTTATTTAAGGGAGCATACATTATTTAAGGGGTATTGAACTGTGATAGACTTTTTGGAAGCTGTATCCTTTATTTACACCCTTATTTAAGGTGGTAGTTTTCATTTAAGGTGGATAGATAGACATTTGAAGCTGATAAAATGTGCCAACCTGTGTTTTTACATCCTTATTTAAGGTGGAAGTTCATTATGATTTACATGTTAAGCAGACAAAATGTGCCACCCGTTTTACATCCTTATTTAAGGCGATATACCTTATTTAAGGCGGTATTGAACTCTGATAGACTTTCGGAAACTGTCAAAATGCGCTACTCCTGTTTTACAGCCTTATTTAAGGTGGTGGTCCTCATTTAAGGTGGAACTTTATTCTGAAAGACATTTGAAGCTGATAAAATGTACAAACCTATATTTTTACATTCTTATTTAAGGTGGTACTTTAATTTCATGGACATTTGGAAGCAAAATGTCAATCTTCCAAATGTCAGAGTTAAATACCACCTTAAATAAGGGTGAAAATGTGCTACTCCTGTTTTTACACCCGCATTTAAGGCGAAGTTAATTCCAATAGACAATTGAAGGTGACAAAACCAGTTCTCTGATTTGACATCCTTACTGAAGGTGGTATACCTTTTTAATGAGGTATAGACTTTTGACAGCATATAAAAATGTGCTACCCCTGTGTTTATATCCTTATTTAAGGTGGTACGTGGAAATTTATTCCGATAGACATTTGAAGCTGACAAAATGTGCTAACCTGTGTTTTTATTTAAGGTGGTAGTTCATTCTGATTTACACGGTAAGTGGACAAAATTTGCTGCCCCTGTTTTTACACCTTTATTTTAAGGTGTTAGCTCAATCCAAAATGTCAATCAGAGTTTAATACCACCTTAAATGGGATTATCTCCAGGTGGAGGTCTCCAAAATGAAACCAAGAATAGCCTTGTGCAGTAAACACTGTGGCCACCATCTCATTAGTGAGGTTCATATTAAGTTCAACAAATGTTAATATAAATATACTATAAAATGATATGGTGGTTTGACTGTTGCACTTTTCTTGTGTTGTCAATCTTGTTTGTGTAGTTGCTGTCGGTGTGTGTGTGTGTGTGTGTGTGTGTGTGTGTGTGTGTGTGTGTGTGTGCTCCGTTGTATGCAATGTTTGTGTTTATTTGTTATTTTGGGGGTCACAAGCTCAACAGAAATTCATAATTGTGACCAAAAAATGTTTTGATTTTAAGAGTTTTAGTCAACGCTTTGATGAAATACTCACTAGAAATTATATCTGTAATCAGAATTTTGGCAGGGGATGTAAAAAAAATCTCTTTTTCATAGATTTCTGTTTGATTTTAACAAAAAATCTGTTATTTTGTATGACCCAAAAAGTGTAGTCCTGAAAAATGATTTCAAGGATGGATGCTATAACTAAAACTAAAAGCATTAATACATTTTATCACTTCATTACTGATTAAAATTCTGATTTTAATTGTTAAAAGCTCATATTTTAATTAGCTGCCAACACTTCATCTCATTTTCATTTAATTTAACTTGTTTTATGTACTAAAATAAGCTAAAAGTCAAATAAAAATGTCATTCACAGATTTTGGTATAGAAGAAATATGATCAAAAATTGACATTAAAATAAACAATAATAAAGCAAGAACCATTCAAACAGACTAAATCAATGTATAATAGTATATTACTTTAAATAATATAATAGGAAACTACAACTATATTTGATGATGTGTGTTTCTATCCTGTTTTGCCACCATTTGGCAAAAAACATAACTAGTATCATAACCTCTTCAGCTGCTCCAGAATGCAGCAGCACGAGTGGTCTTCAATGAACCTAAACGAGCACATGTCACTCCGCTGCTCATCCGTTTGCACTGGCTGACAGTTGCTGCTCGCATCAAATTCAAAGCTCTGATGTTTGCTTACAAAGCGACTTCTGGCTTTGCTGCTCCTTATCTGCTCTCACTTCTGCAGATGTATGTGCCCTCCAGAAACTTGCGTTCTGTGAATGAACGTCGCCTCGTGGTTCCATCCCAAAGAGGGAAGAAATCACTTTCCCGAACTCTCGCATTCAATCTGCCCTGTTGGTGGAATGAACTTCCTAACTGCATCAGAACAGCAGTCACTCGCTGTCTTCAAGAAACCACTAAAAACTCAACTATTTAGTCTCCACTACACTTCCTAATCTGCAATTGCCTCTCTGAATATCACACTAACTGTACTACAGGGAAAAAAAATAAAATGACTAATGTTTTGCTTCTTCTTAGACTTTACACACCTAAAACTCGCCTACAGCACTTATTCATTGTAGCTCTTATAGTTGTGTAAATTGCTTCCTTGTCCTCATTTGTAAGTCACTTTGGTTAAAAGCGTCTGCTAAATGACTAAATGTAAATGTAGTGCAAGACAGAATCTTCTGACCTTTTTTGTTATTTCTGCGGAGACTTTTTGTAAGAATCTGCGGATTTTTCAGAATTATTTTTTATTACACAAGGTTGAATCAATAATCACCCCTTTAGGGTGAACAGTTCCTTTAAGTGACATAATATACCTGTGATATAAAGGTGAGGCATTTTCATAGACTTTTAAGCACATTTGCAGACTACAACTGGACATTGAACACGTGAACAGGTCTGCCGTTCGTTCGTCCAATCACAACACTCGATTATCCGCGCGTGCGTGCACTGCGGCTGATAGAAATGGCGGGCAATTTGAGCTAAGAAAAAATGGCTTCTCAACAGATTTTATTAACTTTAAACACGTTTACATGCTTAATAATAATCTAATTATATCCTCGATATACCAGACCACGACACGCGATCCAGCTTAAAATCGTGTCATATTAGTTTCACACGGTTGGCGCCAACTAACGTTAGATTAAACGGTTGCGTCCGTCTAAAAGCGATTAAAATGAACGTGATTATAACGGAAGAAGTGATCAGAGGTGAGGATTATTAACAGTAAACACTGGAGGGAAGTAACTCCGATGCTGTTGAACACTTCAGAGATTCACAATGTTTGTAAGTCGAACTTCATTGACCTACTTTGTTTTCTGTAACATGAAATCTTTCTTCTGGTTTATTTTGTATTTATTTTGCTCCTGTTTATGTGAATAAATCATGAAATAAACATATGTATACTAATATTGAACCCTGCAAAGAACTCTAACTATGTGGTTTACACACGTTTCACATTCCAATTAATGTTAATAATCTATGTTTTATAGCAGTTTCAGCACGTTTTAGAGGGCAACACCTTTATAAAAGTAAATTATATGAGCATTTAATAGTGTTATTTGCGATGCAAAACGTTTATTTAGTAACTTTTCAACAGCACTTTGAATTATAGTTTGCATTGAGGTTGAAATGCTAATGTTCATGCTCATGTTTGATGCTAATTTTAGTTTAAATTCCAGTTTTTTATAAAGCTACACTAAATAAACGTA